AAAATGTATAAAAAGTATATTATTATAAGGAACATACATATAAGATTTAAGGACATCAGGGTGTACATGTACACGTGCTGTTTATAAATACATTTAATGTAATATACATTAACATTATGTAAAATCATGTATTCTTTAAATGTTGTGTCGCAAATTTTACAGCGGATTCCTTTATAATACCAAAAATACAAATATAAAATAAAATATTTAAAAAAAGAAAAATTTCTATATAAAAATAATATAACGGTGAATATAACATGTCATTGTCTTGATTTATATCCTTCCTATAATATTATTATACATGTAACAAGTCATACACGTATACAAACACTTTTAAATCATATATTTCATCAACACAGCACCATCATCAACTGTAACATTGCTGCTCTCTTATACGTACATGAATTTTTATAAAGGAGTAACAAATAAAAAAAAAATAAAAAAACAGGGAAATAAATTTTTTTTGTTTTCTGTTATCTCTGTTATTTTATTTTTGTTAGATTTTTTATTTTATTTGCGTAACAACAGTTAAAGTGCGTAAATATCCCCGAAAGGATAAAAATAATAAAGCATTGTTACTAAGGTATTTTCTTATTTTTATTTACAAAACAAGGAAAAAACAGAATTTTATTATTTGTAAAGCATAAAATGTAATGACTTTTACTACATAAAATACTTAGTTGTTAATGTTACAGTTGTACATTGCTATGTAGTTTTATTATATAATGCAAAAAATCTTTATTTGTAATGAGCAAACAAAAAAAAATTAAAGTATGGAAATGAAAATCAACCAGTTAAATAGTTGATAATATTGTACTAACACAATTAGAGTAAATTACAAAAAAATTTACAAGCTTAATTGACTTGTGATTTGGTTTATCAAATATTGAATAATTTTGAATAAATACAATAATTTCAAATCTGGATCAAAAATATTTTCTGAGCATAAAATAAGATTAACATATCTTTACTGCATATTTTTGAAAAACTTTTTACGACCACGAAATTCGAAAATTTACAATTAGTGTTTCAGTTACAATGCACTCACTGGGTCAAAACTCAGCTCTTGCTCAATTAAGAAGACTCAATGACAATGTTAAAACTCAGCCTTTTACAAATAAAAATTTTCGTATATACTGAAATTAATAACTTTTCAATTTTACTGAAATTAATAACTTTTCTTATTCCATTCGTTAGTAGTTAACAATTTACGATAACATAATGTTGATTGAAAAATAATCGTAAAAATGTTTAAATCTACAAGACAAACAAAAACAGAAAAAATATTTAATAATATTTTTAAAACAAATCCCTTCAATTTATAAAAATAACAAATTCTGATTTAGATTAACATATAAAAGTGAAAAAAATCAATGGCAAAACTTCATAAGTACCTGAAAGCGTATTTCCTCTTATATTTTAAATGAAAGATAGAAATTTGGAAGGATGGAAAAAAACAAAACAAAAAGTTAACTTTTCTAGAGTACACAAAGAAAATGGAAATTCAACTGAGAATTAAAAATTGAATAAAATAACAGACAGGAATTAAAGTATGGAAAACAAATAAAAACGCTTCAGTAGACCTTAACCAACTGAATTTATACCCTACAAGTTATAATATGAGATGATTAAAAAATAGTTTTTTCACATAATTGAAATTATCTTTCAGGGTTTTATGGTAGCTATCTGAACTACATCTAAATTAATATATAAAAAATTTCTGGACACATAAATTACAATTAAAGCGAAATGGTCCAATTACAAAAGCAACCGTCACTTGCAGGAAACAAACATTTTTTGTGAGTTTGACGGGACGATATCGGACGGGAAGGCCGGAAGAAATTTATTTAAATCAAAAAAATTTATATACATGTTTACCGCATTTATATACCGCAGATGATTCCTTCACGAGGGTATCAACTAAAAATAAATGTAGTGAGCTACGAGATTTTTAAGATAATACAATTTGGCACAAATGAGCATACAACGGCTTATAATATTTGAAAACATGAATTGATTCTTTAAACCATTTTTGCTCTAATGAGCCTATTAACTAATAATTTTTGCAAAAATTTTAGATTGATCACTAATATGGTGAGTGCCTTCTAAAATAGATTGCTGTGTGAAATAAATTATTTATTTTTTAAATACATATTTTACTTTTCTCGCCTCTTCAATTTATATTTGTTCTTTCAAAATAGGTAGTATTTATCAAAAAAATTTTTATCTATTTTGCACTGATTATAGCTTCAATTTTGACTTATTTAATCATAGCTACAGATAAAAAATTTCTGCTTAAATTGACTTATTTTACATTATTATTATGTTGGTTTTTTCTTGTTTTAATTGCCATACTTATTTCATACTTAATTAAAATACATTAATTATATTTAAAATTCTGCCATCAAACGTTTCAATTTTTCAATTGCTGACATAATTTAATTTCAGTCTACAAGCTACTGGCATATTAAATTTCATTTAAATTAAATTCTATGCATAATATTTTTATAAGATATTTTATTTTTCACACGAATATCAAAAGTCATGTGAACATCTCATTTCAAAAATGGATTTCTTAAATAGTTATTATATAATATTATTAAACTATTATTTGATTGATTAAAAGCCAACTTAGACTAGGCGATCTTAAGTTAATATAGATTACAGATCATTCTTATACTTTTAACCTAACTTCCTACATTATCACATGTAATCGGATTTCAACAAAATGAAGTAAAATTATTTGAATTCAAATTATTTAAATTATGTATAGTAATGTTCTTTTCACCTCTCATTTAAACATCCCTAAATTAACATTACAATACAATCTTTGTGTCTATAAATAACATTATCATATATGTAGATATTTAGTTTTCATGGTACATAAAATTTTATTTAAATTTTTATTGAATATTATTTTTATGGTGTTAAGGTCAACATTCAAATAAAGGTAATTTCAACTACATATATTATATACCTTGGTATAGTAGTGAACTACGCCAACACAGTTTTGAAAGTGGAAAATTTCTACTATATAAAAAACGAAGGCAGATAAACTTGAAAAGAAAACAGAGATAGGGAGGAAAAAAAACACAAAATTTTTTTTTTTTCGATTTTCCTTTTCAATTTTTGAATATTCATGAGAGCCTTACATAGTTTTACAAGAAAAGGTCAGGTTTTATCAAATAAATTTTTAAGTTTATGGTGTCAAGATCCGTGTCAACATAAGTGACTCTTTTTAAGTTTTGTAATTCTCTGTAAGAATGTATGTATACCTATAAAGCTGTATACATTGCACTACACTATGTAAAATATTAAATAAAGTGAATAATCAGTGCGAACAAAAAAAAAAAAAAGAATTCAGTTAAATTATTCAATTTAATTAAATGGAACTTGTAACATACACAAAGAATATTATCTCATGACTCTGCATATAATCATTTTAGCTTGTCACTTAATGCACTTGAATGACAAAATATTATTTTATAGATTAATTTCATACATTATGAATATATAAATGTGTCTAAATTTAAATTAGTATAATAAAATTTTTACATAGATCAAATTTTTGTATGTTGCTAAAACAAGTGGCTTGCTATCAACGTGATTACTTGCATTGTACTCATAAATGGAAGAAATCACAACCATTTTAAAATTATTTAATATTTCTACTATTTGGTATTATAATGACCTTTTAATTTATTTCATCATGTAATTATGGCTGCTTTAAATTCGTAATAAACTTTTTTTTTTAAACTATGACTGTAGATCATCATTATTAGTACTTGACCTTCACTAATTGTTTCTTTGAAAAAAATGTTTCTATCGTCCTTGAAAGCGTGGATGATATTTATTAGGTTGAGACGGAATTCACTTTGTATGCCCTTTTGTAGAAAAAGCTCACCGAAACCAAGATTTTTCTAAAAATAAGAAAAAAATTCATTATTAAATAAATTTTATCTAATTTCTTAAAATTCTTAAATATATATTATATAATTCAAAATCTATTTTTACTAATATTTTTTTTATTTTTTATATTATATTTTTAGATGTTTAACAAGTTTGAGAACAAGAATTCCGAAGAGATTAAATAATCCAATTGAAATTTATAATTAATTAAAATATAACATTTTTAATAAAAATAAGTTAATATTAAGCAAATATTTTAAAATAAAAGAGATAGATTTACATAAATATTATATTTAATAAAATAATAGTAACGATATCAAAAAGAATTATAATTAATTTCAACAAATCATTTTACACACTATGTATGAATAAACTAATAAAAATTAAACAATTTTAAAATCAAATTTTTTATAATTTTTATTTTATCAAATTTTCTATATTCCCCAATATCTTTCTAAATCCTAAAATATAGAAAATCGATTGCATATAAACTCAAATCAATTAGAAAAATCAAAAATAATTCGATTTCAAATTTTATTATAATAATTATTCCATTATAATAATTATATTAAAATAATATCTCAAAATATTGTACTCATAATTAATTTATTTACTACTTTGATATGATCCAATTATACAAATATACTTACGACAATGTAATATAGTCTACCATATTATCTATCCACACACACAACCACACTTAATAAACGTCTAATATAATTTTTAAATGTTTATATCATAGTTACAGTAATTAATTAATTAATTAATAAAAAAAATAGTAATAATAGTTATTTATATGATAAAAATATTTACTATTATAATTATGATAAAAAAATATTATATTACAAACGAAAATATTTCTTTAAATCAAAAAATCTTCTCAAAAAAAAATTACAATTTTTATTATTATTTATTATTTAATAATAATAATATGCCAGAGAAGTGATACAAAAAAAATTCATAATATTTTATAATATAATTTTATTAAAATATACATATATAAAAATAAAAATAATATTAATTATGTTAATTTGTACATATTATTTAATAATGTAAGAGAAAAAAATTTTTAAAAAAATATAGAAAATAATGTAAAAAGTTATAATCATACATAAACATTTATAAATTGTATAGAGAACAATAATAATTTAAAAATTTAATAAAAAGAAGTAACAAAATTTATTTATAAAATTTATATAATTAAAAAAAAACATCGCATTCATAATTACATAATAACATACAATAATATAAATGTCCTTGCAAAGGAGAATCTGAAATTAAAAACAAAAATAAAATAATTTAAAATTAATTATAATAATAAAAACTTGTAAAAGTTAAGTAAGAAAAATAATAAAGATAGTAAAATATGTTGTACCTCAATTGGATTTTTTTATCAATAATTTTTTCATTCGGATATCATCACAATAAATTAATTGTTACGTCACTGATTACAAGAAATATCGAAGAGGAAAATGGTAAGAAATTAATTATTATTAATAATTATTTTAATTATTATAAATAAAAAATTTGACAATTTAATGTATGTACTAGTGATATTTCATGTTCAAGCATTAATTTTACAGTTAATTCCGATTTTGTTTGTTTTCAATTATAATATAAATAGTATTCATTTCTTTGAATAAAGACAAATTTATATAAAAATCTTAAGGAATATTTGTTTTTGTGTTTTCTCAGCAATATTTTTGAATGGAAATGAGTAAATAAATAATTTGTTTTGTTGAACAAATGAGCGATCGAATTTGACAAAATGTAAGCTCTTATTTGAAAAATAATTTATGTTTGAGGAAAACATCAAAATTATTGTTATTAATAACTTTAATGTTATCTCTCAAACGTGAGCTCCTCTCAACAGAATTAAAATTAAATAATTGTATTTGTTCAAATGAACGAACGAATTTGATAAACTGGAAACTTTTCTTAAATAAAATATGATTTACATTAAATAAAATTAATTATAGAAAAGTTTTTTTATTATGAAAATAAGTTTTTGATATAATACCTTCATTATTAAAAAGACTTAAACGTTCTTGTACTCGCATATACATTTTACATATATAAAAATACTCACAATTTTAATAAATTGCTAATTGGCAGATTCAGATTAATACATCGCATTAGTTGAACAGATTAAAAATTTATTTGAAGCTCCCTTCTTGCTACCTTGAAATTGTATGCGTGACAGTGTCCATTCACCTTTTGACAAAATTATGCTTTCATTTGATTTTGATTCCATGATTATTAATTTTAATCTCTCATTTCATGTTGAATTTGATTAATTTCTATTCAATTCAATATTTCGTTATAATTTAACAATAATTATTTTAAGTTTTTGTTTTTTTTTTTTAATATTTGGTTTATTTTTTTAATTTTATTTTTTCTTTTCTTTTTTATTTTATATTTCTAGTGCGGAGAAAATCATCAACCAGAGGTGCGAAAAGTCTAAAATTATATTTAAAACAAAATAACCTAAGTTTTTTATTTAAATTAAAAATCTTTTTATGAACTTTAAATTTATAGAGTGTAGAATATATAGTAAGTGTTTGAATTCATTAATTTTTAATTTTTCAACCAAAGATTTCAAAAATTTCAGAAAACATCAAAGATTATATAAGCTTCTTTTTCATTCATTACAGCATTTCATTCACTCAATTCAGCAATTAGAATTCAACTACCTGCATTGTGTATTAATCAAATATAACTGCAATTTTCAAGTCAGGGTACTTGGTAGAATTTCCCGAAGCTTTCTGATAGATTTTCATTTAATTTTTATAAACATTAATTACACATTACATACAATTTTTTTTCATAACTAGTTTTAATAGTTGTCTATATACTAGTTAATTAATAATTAAAATTTTATAAATTTTTCAAAAACCAAAAACAATTAAAAAATATATGTAAAAGTGTACTGGTGGACCGTATGTTAAAATTCTCACGATTACAACTAATTTCGTTGGGTATTTTAATCATTCATTTACAATGAAATGTTTTTAAAAATAAAAGAAAAACAAAATTTAATTAAATATTCATTTTTAAAAATGTTTATTAAATTATAAAATTTGTATTATTTTAAAAACAATTATACCTAACGTAAACAATAATATTAAATTGTCCGTTCTTCCATTTTCAAAAGATGCGTTTATAATTTGAACAAAAATTCCAAGTATCAAGCGGTCATTTTCGTTAGTTACCTTAGTCGTTTTTTAAATCAACACAAGTTCGAACTAAACAATTACAAGACAAATTATTCGAACTTAAAAAATTTTCGTGTAAAAAATTTTTAATTTAAAAATATGAATTTTTAAATATTATAAAATTCGTATATTTAGTGCAGTTTGTTTTTAGAACATAAAAGTTAAAATTCTCAAAACTTCTTAATTTGCGCTTCGACAATTACTTTTGAGTTAATACTTTGAAATATGAAATGTATTATTAATCTGATTTCATTTTTATTATTTAAATTTATTCTGTTCAAATCCTTTTTTTTCCACAGCCTTATAAAATTTAATACAATAAATTTCATGACAATGTTCCCGCCCCGCCCATTAATTAAATTTTTAAACTAGCTTTTAATAATATGTAGCTATTACATTCGATAATTCTAGTTAAATTAACTATTAATTACAAAATATTACCATAAAGTTGGCATAACATTATGGTTGAATAATCATTAATTTATAAATTTCTTGTTAGCAAATTTAACTCTTGATGTTTAATTTTTCCACTGAGTACCCTGGAAATTTAATATGTTTTTAATTTACCCTACAAAAGTTAAAAATATCGTTTACAGGTGGAATTAATTTTAATATAATTGGGAAAAAAATCTGATATTGTGTTTTCTCAAGCAATTTAACAATTTAACACGCATACCTTAAAATAATAAAATACAAATTTAATTGCAATTCTTTAAAATAAAATTATTTCATAATTTTTTTTCAGTTTGGTCAATGTTGTTCATTGAATTCTAAGTAGGTACCATCACAAAAAAAATTCGAGCAAAGTCATTCCCTTCAATAAGGTTTTTAAATAAAAACAATAAATATGATATTAAAAAAAGTGAAAATTTTAATTATTTTAATAATTTATATAAAAAATATTCCTGTTAAAACTTTTAAAATTAAATTAAATGATTTTATTGAAAAACTTATAATAAATTATAAAATTGAAAATGTTATAATTTATAATGAAAAATCAATAAATAATTTTAATACCAATATAATTTCCAACATTCCTGTATTACAATATAATAATGATTTCGAAAATGTTTTAAGAAATAAAAATTTTCAATTTATTAAAAATTTTAATAAAAATTTACTTATACTTATTGAATACCAATTAAATTTTAATTATAATATTAAAAAATTCCTAACTAGTTATTTTAATAAAATGCGTTTTAATACAAAATTAATATTTTTATTTGAAAATTCAATAAATAGTTTTTATATTATTAAAGAAATATTTGAATGGTGTCATAAAATGCAATTTTGGAATATAATGACATTAAAATTAAATGAAAATTATAATGATATTATTAATATTACAACATTTTATTTGAATCCCAATATAAATATAATAAATTTAAATTTAGAAATAATTAATTACAAATTTATTCAACATATTAAAAATATGTATGGTCGCAAAGTTCGAATAATTTTTGAACCTGATATACCATGGTTTTATACTTTTGAAAATAATAATAAAACTGAGTATATAGGATTCACTTATAAATTATTTTCACATTTTGTAAAATCAATTAATGCAACACTAGAACTTTTAATATTTCAAAATTTGACAACTCCTTCAAAATATAATAAATTAAATGGAAATGAAATTGATTTTCTTATAAAACCTGCATCAAAATCATATGTACTTAACAAAAACGCTCAATTGACACGATCTATAACTCCATCACGAACACGTATATTAGTACCGTGCGGCAATATTATACGACCTCATGAATATTATTTGAGACCAATAAAACGTGATTTTTGGATACTGTTATTTTTTGGATATTTTTATACAATTTTCATTTTTTCAATATGTAATTATTTAAAATATCAAAAATGGGATATTGGACGAATTTCTATGCAAATATTATGTTATTTTTTCTATATACCATTTTGGAAAAATGATAGTTTTAAATGTTGGCAAATTAATTTTATACATTTATTTGTTATTTTATTAGGTTTTATAACAACATCAAAATATTGGTCAAGTATAACGGTATTATTTCAAAAGACAATATATAAAAATGAAATCAATACATTTCATGATATTAAAGAATCTGGACTGAAAATTGCTATTACTGGAAATATAAGAAATTCACTTATAAATATAACAGAAAATCCAAAATGGTTAGATGTACTACAAATTAAATCATATAAAGAACTTGAATTTGAGAAAAGTAAGTTAAATATAACACAAGCATATTTTACGGAAGAACTAAAAGGGAAACTTTTATTAAAACAACAAGAAACATCACCACACAAATTAATGAGATTTGCTAAAATTATTGTAAATTATGATCATATTGGATTTCCAATGAGTACAGATGGTCCATATATAATAAAATTCAATAATTTTTATTTATTAGCATTTGAAGGTGGACTTTTAGATTTATGGTATGTAGCAGAATATTATAATTTTAAAAAGGCAAAAATTTTTCAAACAATTCGATCTAATATCGAAAATATTCGAGTATCAGGAAAATTATCATTAGGAAGGCTTGTTATTCTATCTCATATAATTATATTTGGATGGTTTATTAGTATTTTATGCTTTTTGGCAGAATGTTTTTGGAAAAAATTTTATGAAACTTTCTTTAATAAAAAATCATAAAAGTTACAATTATACTTGCTGATTCGACGAGAATACAATATGGACTCTCTTTTATAGTCACGGCACATGCTAAATTTTTTTAGGAACCTCTCATTGAAAAGAATACTTCTGAGTAACAATATTGACAACATTTAATAGTGTTGTTTTTTTTTAAACTTAAAATATACTTAAAAAAATAAATTTAACTTTTTAAACATTTATTGAAGCTTACATTTTTTAAATTTTATTTATACCCTTTTAGAGCATAAATATGAATGATGTGTAATGTATGTAAAAATCATTAGCGTATTGAATAATTATCAACTAATTATTTTCGTCACTTTGATTTTTAATTAACATAAAAAAAAATTTTAATTATTGCAATAATGCAAGAATACATATGGTATTTATGTATATTGAAGCATTTATATATTACAGAACAAATTATCGAGAAAAATTTTTTTTTTAATTAACACATGAAAGGTTTAATTATATCATAATTATCATCAATAGTTTTGTTATAATATATATATAATAGTATAATTAAAATCAAAATTATCAATGAAAATAAATTAAATAAAAATTTATAAAATTGCAAAAGAATTATTTTATTTATTTGCATATTTTTTAAAAAGAATTTTGAACTCATAAATTATAATGACAGTTTTACATTTTAATGAGGTCAATTGAAATGATTGATTATTACTATATAAAATTTTTTATTGAACTCTCTTGTCAGTAGCACTTACAGTTTAAATATTTTTTCTACCTAAAAATGACCCTAATTATCCTTACTCTTCAAATAATTTATAATTCAGTTTTGAGTGACAAATTTACATATACATATGTATGTATATTATATTTTCAATATAGTTTTGATTCACTAAACTAGGCCCCAAGAATTTAAAAGGTCGAAAACCTAAAAAAAATTTTAAAAACCAAAAATTGACGCAAACTTTGAAAAAATTTTAAATCAAACTCAATACAGATAAGATCACATGTTTACAAGTATTTAATTTGTTTATTAATTTATTCAATTTCTTAGAAAAAGCTTAAATCTCGAACAGAGTGTAATATAAAAGGAAAATATAATAATCAATGTAACAATATTACGACATTTTAAAGTTTCGAGAACCTCTTCCTAAATATATCGGCGACCCCCTTCTTTTCACCATAATTTCATTCGATTGCATATTCCAGATCAACTCTTCATCACTAAATATTTATAGTTTCCAACTCTCAATTATTGTTTGTTTCCATAGTATAAGGTATATGTATTGATGCCATGTGCCATAGCTTTCAACATGTTGGAATTGATCATTAATTCTAGGACTACACCCAATTCTTAACAAGTGTTTGGTCCATTTCATTCAAGTTTTATTTCGCGTGAATTAAAATCAAATCATCGGCGTATGAAGATGCTTGAGATTCAACTTCTCAAAAATGCTGACGTTACTTTTGCACGTACCATGGATAGCTTATCTGATTGGAGACTCTTTCGGTTAAATTTTCATTTTTCAACTTCTTGAAACAAAGCAAAATGTATAACGATAAACATTTTTGATGCAAGGCACTTCAAAATATTTATTATACTTGCATTTTATTTTCAAT